CCCCACCCATCCAGGTCCTGGAAGATCAGGTTTAACTTGGTGCAGAGACTTCTCCCCATGAACATGGACTACTTCAGTTTCTGAGGAGACAAGGTGTAGAGCTGGATGAACACAGCAGGCCAAGCAGCATCAGAGGAGCAGGAAAGCTGACGTTTCGGGTCTGGACCCTTCTTCAGAAAGGAGGTACAGAGCCTGCAAAGAGATATAGACAGGTTGAGTGAGTGGGTAAAAAAAAAATGCCACATGGAGTATATGTGGGAAAGTATGAGCTTCTCTGCTTTGGTCGGAATATCAGAAAAGCAGTACTTTAGTTCAATGGAGAGAGACTGCAGATCTCTGAAGTATAGAGCAATGAGGACTTTCTGGTTCATGAGTCACAAAAAAAATTAAGACACAAGTAATTAAGAAGGCAAATGGAATTTTAGTATTTGTTACACGTGGAATGGAATAGAAGAACAGGTAGGTTTTATTGCAGTTGTTCAAGTCCTTTGTGAGAGCACTAGCTACAACTTTGTTCTTATTTGAACAAGGATATAATTGTTTGAGTAGATCAGAGAAGGTTCATTTTACTTATTCCTGAGATGAAGGCTTTATTATGAAGGAAAAGTTGAACAGGTTGGCCCTTTCCAGGACAATCCTGAATTAATGAGCCGCTTTGACAAAGGAGAGCCAGATCATAGGATTTGACACGGTCCATTTTTACCTGAAGACGAACTGTGTTCTGAGGAAGGCTCACTGGACCCGACACGTTAATGCTAATTTCTCTCCACAGTTGCTGCCAGACCTGTAGAGATTTTCCAGCAATTTCTGACTGTGTTCCAAGACTCACTAATTATCTATTATTTACAGGACAACAAAATCAAGGATAGCTCACAGGCATCAGTGGAGAGAAAAGGAGAATTCAGGGTTCTAATGAAAGAGGATTATTTTAATCATCAACTTTAAGGTTTATTCTCCAGCATTTCAACAACCTCTCAGGCCACGACCATATCTTCTTTTCAAGAGAATAAGTTGCAAACATGAACCAGCCAATCTGTCGCAACCCAGTGGCAAACATTAATCACTACAAACAGTAATAATCTTACGGTAGCTCATAATCATATTAATGCTAAAAAGACAAATTATGTTGAAGCTTTTCATTTTTCAAGTAAATTGACAAGAAATACTTGAGTAAACCATGCACGTAACTGTACTGAGTGTACCCAAATCAGCCTGTGCTTGCAGAACCCGTGTCCAATATTTGATGTGATTCCACGATTCGACAGCTTTTGCTAATTAATCCAAGTGTGCAAAGATTAACACTACTAATTTAAGATAATCAGTACGGCTAACAGTGTGGCTGATTGAACACACTGACGGCAGAAAAAAGACAAATATACACAAAACACCTATTTATACGCACCAAAATATCGGTTAACCATTCTCGAGCTCACTTCTCAGCACAATGTCTTGATAAATTGGAATCAACATTCCCCATTCAAAATTTAAATACACTATAGCAATTAACCATCATTCGTCATCTAATTGGCACATTCTCCATGGCAACACTTAGCAATTAGAGCCCACATGCCACCAATCAGCAAGCTCATCTTATAGAATATAAATATTTTTTCTGTTGATATTGGTATTTCTTGCGAAGTGCCTTACTGTGTGCAAAACACAAAATTCGCAACATAATGTGTCTTTCCTCAACAATACACAAATAGCAGGGGCAGTTCAGTGACAGGTAGGCTGAAGGAAATGGGCACTTAGTCAGGCAACCTGAACAGCTTGGAGATTTTCACCTGTTCAGCGAGGCAATGATATGATGCAACTTGTAGTTGATTTAATTCTACTAATATGTCTGACCAGACAAGGAAAAAAATGCCCTCACAGTCATAAATATTAGAAATAGAAATTAGAAATATTAGAAATGAAAAGCAAGTCAAGAAACTGTGATAAACCTTAGTTATTTTTTTCCTAAGTTAAAGCTATTTCACATGGGAATTTTATGACATTCCTGTGAGAATACAAATGCTGCACACTATCAGGCCTACTGCTGACCATCAGTTAGCCTGGTGTTTGTTCTGTTATTGGTGTAAATATGCTGGCATATAAGAAAAATGTAATAAATAGGAACAGGAGTCCCCTTGAGTCAAAGGTCATTCCTTTGCCTGGAATATAATCAATAATGAACCAGCCACAGTCCTCCAGGTAAAACATTCCAAAGATTCTTCGCAGGATGAAGAAATTTCTCCTTAATTCAGTCTGAAATGCCAAGCACTATAACATCAGACTATGCCCTCTGTTAGAGTCATTGAGTCATACACATGGAAGCAGACCCTTCAGTCCAACTCATCTGCATTAACCAGATATCTAAACTGATCTCGTCCCATTTGCCAGCATTTGGCCCATATCCCGCTAAACCCTTCCTATTCATGTACCCATACCCCAGATGCCTTTCACAGGTTGTAACTGTACCAGCCACTACCACCTCCTCTAGCAGCTCGTTCCATACACGCACCACCCACCGCATCAAAAAGTTGCCCCTCGAGTCCTTCTTAAATCTTTCTCCTCTCACCTTAAAACTATGCCTCCTACTTTTGGACTCCCCTACCCTGGGAAATAACCTTTGCTATTCACCCTATCCATGCCCCTATCCATGCCCCTCATGATTTTATAAACCTCTATAAGGTTGCCCCTCAGCTTCCAATGCTCCAGGAAAATTAGCCTGAGCAAATTCAGCCTCTTCTTACAGCTCACTATGGCTCTGAGACGTGGATTGTCTACAACCAGACACCTCAAGGTGCTGGAGCAGGCCCACCAATGCTGCCTGTGCAAGATCCTGCGAATCTACTGGGGAGAAAGACACACCAACACCAGCGCCCTCAATCAGGCCAGCATTGAGGCACTGACCAACCTTGATTGGGTGCTATGGGCTGAGTCCATTGTCCGCATGACTGACACGAGACTCCCCAAGCAGGCACTCTATTCCCAGCTCTGAAATGGCACATAAGCCCTAGGTGGACAGTGGAAACACTTCAGTCATACCCTCAAGGCACTCACCACCTATGTCCAGGACACCACCCACGCCCCTCCACCACTTCCAAGACTTCCAATTCCCTGGCCCCCAACACCTCATCTTCACAAAGGGCATCCAATCCCTGTACACTTGCATTCCCCAAGCGGATGGCCTAAAAGCCCTCTGCTTCTTCCTCTCCCGCAGGCCCAACCAGTCCCCCTCCACCGACACTCTCATCCGCTCAACCAAACTCGTCCTTACCCTTAACAACTTCTCCTTTAACTCCTCTCACTTCCTAAAGACTAAGGAGGTAGCTATGGGAACCCGCATGGGCCAAGCTATGCCTGCTCTCTTTGTAGGATACGTGGAACAGTCTCTCTTCCACTGCTACACTGGCACTATCCCCCACCTCTTCCTCCACTACATTGATGACTTTATCGGCGCTGCCTTGTGCTCCCATGAGGAGCTTGAACAATTCATCAAATTTACTAACACCTTTCACCCCAACTTAAATTCACCTGGACCACCTCCGATACCTCCATCTCCTTCTTGGACCTCTCTGTCTCCATCTCTAGTGACCACCTCAAACCGACATCTATTTCAAGCCCACCAACTCCGACAGCTACCCAGGCTACACCTCCTCTCACCCACCTTCCTGCAAGAATGTGATCCCCTACTCCCAATTCCTCTGCCTCCCCCGCGTCTGCTCCGAAGATGGGGCATTCCACTCCTGAACATCCCAGATGTCCTCTTATTTCAAGGACCGCAACATCCCCCCTTCGTTAGTCGAAAATACTGTCAACTGCATCTTTTGCGTTTCCCGCACCTCTGCCCTCACATCCCCTCCCCCCAACAAACACAAAGACAGTTCCCACTATCTCCAAAGACAGAAACCCCTTGTCTTCACATATCACCCCACCAACCTCTGTATCCAACGTATCATTCTCTGCCACTTCCACCATCTATAATTCGACCTCACAACCAAAGATATATTTCCCTCCCCACCCCTATCTACCTTTTGTAGGGACTGCGAGAATATCTGCTTCCACCATCCTCTCAGGCAGTGTGTTCCATTTCTGAACAGACTGATTAGAAAATATCTCAAACTGGGAGCACTTGGAACACTGGGTGTGGGGTGAGGGTGGTAAGGAAGTTGATAAACTCTCGACAAAAGGGATACATGGATTGGAATCTGTAAACAATCTATTATTAATCCAAAATAGCATTTCATTTCAGCTGATAATACATTTATTTCAGCATTAAGGACTTTCTTATGCTCCAGGTTGTTCCAAAGCAGTCTGCCATTAAAAGGATGAAAAGGGGTTGGAGGACTCTTCTGAAGTATTATCACAAGTATTCGTCCAAATGGTCTGTTTCTGTGCCAATCAATCATGAAAACATATCCTAAGAAAACACAATGCCTCAGGAACCAGTATGAAAACAATGGGAATATGGAATGAGAATCAAACATTTTTTGGCATCTTATCTGTTACAAGAGAACAGAAATACATCATCAGGGTTCTTTACTTACCGAAAATGTGGGAAGCTGCATTTCCATTCCTGACACTCCTTCTCCAGCTTCTGCACACGAGAACATTTCTTATCTTCAAACAGAAGATCATCAATCTCACAGAACATTTGTTGAACCTGGTGGGAGGTTGCCTTCTCAAATTCCTAGAATGTGAAATTCACAGTAAAAGATTGCATGCATCATCACTGAAAATTATCAGCAGTTTAACAAGAGATGCTGCTGTTCTGTGACTGAGTGGGGAAAAACGGTCTGCACACTGCAGCACCACACAAATCTGTCCTGTCTCTGGGGCATAGTGCTATAATACTCAAGAGAACCTATCCTTCAATATGCAGAACAAATGCTTGGAAAAGTATGACTCACATTGTCACCCCAAGAGGAAGTAGAGCTGCAGGCAGTAGAGATCCTGGTTCCTGTATAACTGTTGGCAGCGGACCAAGGGTGTCCAAAATCATCCTGTGAAGGTTGGTTACTGATGTCCACAGAAATCTCGGACTCACTACAACGTTATCAGATACGTATAAACATAAACCTATATCATGGAAAATATGCTCCATTCATAGAAGCAGAACAATCATTGTCACTAATGTTTCTCAAGTTACATTCATACAAACCAGAGAAAAAAAACAATGAGCTTCAACCTACACCTGACCGATTCTTACCCTGTCAGAAATTGCCCCCTCTCCGGTGGCTCTGCCATATGTTGGGATACAGCTTCCTTCTGCACATTCTCAAGGACATCAAATTAAAAGGAATCTTTTATAGAAGTTAAATTCTAATCTCTTGAAAGCACGCAGTGAGTTGTTTTCCCTGTGTCTATTGTATTTGCTTAGATGTGCAAATCTCAAGGTGCCACAGGCCATACACTGTGCAGGGTGAAATATGGCAAGACTTGCGATGTTATGTTATGTTATGTTATTTTATTTTAATGTATGAAACATGACAATCAAATTGCAACAATTCCCAGAAACAGCAACAATTACTCAAATTGTTTGAGGGACTTTTTTATTTTTTATTATTTTTATTTAAATTTTATTCATATTGAGTGAATGTGGGCATTGCTGACTGGGCCAGCAGTTATTATCCGTCATTAGTTGCCCTTGAGGAGGTGGTGGTGAACTTCCTTCTTGAAATGCTGCAATCCAACTGATGCAAGTAGATCCACAATGTTATTAGTGAGGGAGTTCCAGGATTTTGCTCCAGTGGTATTGAAGGAATAGTGATATTGTTCCAAATCAGAATGCTAAGAGTCTCAGAGGGGGAATTTGCAAGGGCTGATGTTTTCATATCTGCTGCTCTTGTCCCTCCACCCATTGACAGCTCGAGCTGTCACCCATTTTCAACATGGGGCAATCAAACAGTTCCTGTTATCCTCACCTGACACCTTTGTGAGCTTTTCTCCCTGTACAGAAAAACAGAGAGGAGCACTGCTTGATGTCTCCCCTGTGTAGAAAAAGGATACTGGGGTTCCCAACTACATCATTCTTGAAGAAAACTCCATCAGTACAATTGAAATCCAATCTCAGACATACTTATCCATCTGATATTGCACAATTGGTACTTTCACCAATTTGGTAAAGTGAGAGGCTGCCAAATGAGTTGCTGCAGACACATACTACTCCAGAACTCGTTAATAACATGCCACAAGAGTACAAAAAAAATGGAAGAAGCAAGGTCCATACCAACTACAGGTGGAGTCAACATCCTCGACACTGGTGATAGGTGATGGTGTTGAAAACTCTTCTAGTTTATCTGGCAGCGGATGATTTTCAACACTGCATTGCAACAAGTTTTGTCTGTGAAAATACAAACTAACTTTTAAATCAAATTGGTTGACATTTCTTTCCCCTTTGCAAACACACATCTTTCTGATTATGCTACAGAAAAACATGGATAAAATTAGAAACATGATATGTAGATGGGTTTCCCTACATTTGCTCATTTCTGGTCTGAGGTCAACAGACATAACTGGCAGCTTGGTCTCTCTCTTTAAAAGTCACTGCTCCAAATAGGCAATCAACATTTTTTTGGCATTCATGTGATATTTATTGACTAGGCTAGCATTTAATACCCACCCCTAAATGTCCAAGAGAAGGCAACGGTGAACTGCTGCGGTCTTTGGCAGATAGGGACGTAAAAAGTGCTGTTTGAAAAGGAGATCTAGGATTTTGACCCATCAATAGTGTTTGAATACTCCAAATCAGGATGGTGCGTACTTGAAGGGGAAGTTGAATGGTGGTGTTTCCATAAATTTATCATTGAAATTTAAGATTATAATCCTCAGGCTCCAATGCCATGACTGGAATTCTCTTTCTTAAATGGCTTCTCCACCTGGAACAAGTGTGTCATAAATAACTCTCATGCATATTTCAAGGTGACGTTTAGAGGTGCTCATATTGGGAGTGGAAGTTTGAAGTAGATGTTCTTCCCTTGTAAATGAATTTGGACAGGCATTCCTGCCCTGAGAAAATGAAATACCTTTTTGATTAAGTTGTGGAATCTAATGAATGTTTCCCCACCCATAGCAGTTGAATAACTACACTGACGACAGCTAACATTATTAGGGCAAGAGGGTAAAGATTCATGAGAAATAAAACAAAATTCATGAGTCACATTACTAATAATGGGCTTTACATGTAAACTTCTAATTGGCTGTTTGGGTGATTACTGGTGGTGGTTAATAGTTCAAAACCAAAAAAAAAGGTGATTTGGCCGTGGAAAAGTCATTCAGTGGTGTGTCATAGAGTGAAAGAGTCATACAGCATGGAAACTGACCCTTTGCTCCAACCAGTCCACGCCAATCAAGTTCCCAAACTAAACTAGTCCCACCTGCCTGTGTTGGGCCCATGCCCCTCCAAAGCTTTCCTGTTCATATAGTTATCCTAATGTCTTTTAAATGTTGTAACTGTACCTGCACCCACCACTTCTTCTGGCAGTTCATTCTACATACTAACCGCTCTGTGTAAAAAAAGTTCCCCCTCATGTCCTTTTTAAAATCTTTCTCCTCTCACTTTAAAAATATGCCCCCTAGTTTTGAACTCCCTCACCTTAGACTTTTATTATTCACCATATCGATGCCCATCATGATTTTATAAACCTCCATAAGGTCACCCCTCAACATCCTACACTCCAATATAAGAAGTTCCAGCCTAGTTTTATAACTCGAACCCTCCCTTCCCAGAAACATTCTGGCAAATCTTTCTGAACCGTCTCTAGTTTAATAATATTCTTCCTATAACCGGGTGACTAGAACTGCACACAGTACTCCAGAAGAAGCCTCGCAAATGTCCCCAACATGATATCCCAACTCCGATACTCAAACTCTGAGCAATGAAGGCAAGCATGGTAAATGTTTTATGAACCACCCTGTCTAATTGTGACGGAAAGTTCGAAGAATTATATACCTGAACACCTCAGTCTCTCTGTTCTACAACACTATCCAGGGCCCTATCATTACTCATACGTGCCCTGCCCTTGTTGGTATTACCAAAATGCAACACCTCACATTTATCCAAATTAAACTCTATCTGCCACTCTGCAGCCCATTGATCAAATCTCTTTGTAATCTTAGATAACCTTCTTCATTGCCCACTATACTACCAATTTTAGCGTCATCCACAAACTTACTAACCACGGATTCATGAGAGTAGGTTCTTGTGGCACAGTGGTAATGTCCTACCAGAGTGATTAGAAAATATATTCTAAAAATCATGAGAATTAAATAATTCAATTATTAGAAACAAATGGAGAATATGTAAGGATGCAGGCACAGTAGTAGTGTCCCTGCCTCTGGGCCAGAAAGTCCATGTTCAAGATCTTCTGCATTGGAGGTATGTCATAAAAGGCCCAGAGAGTTTGATTCAGAATATCAACAGGGTAGGGGAACCAGAGTAGATCACTTCACTTAAAGATTCACTAATGGGTTGGGCATGACTGCCCTCAAGCTTGAATTGCTCCTCAATGAGATCATGGTTGATCATATACTTTAACATCATTTTCCTGCACAATTCCAATATCGCTGGGCATCTGGACAATAGAATTTTAAGGATTCATCACTCTCTGAGTAAAGAAATTTCCCCCATCTCAGTCCAAAATGCCCTGCACCTTATTCTGAGACTATATCCCTAATTTTAGAGCCTTCAGATGGGACAAACAACCTTATTGCTTCACCCTATTAAGCCCGTAAAAAATGCTGCCATATTTAAATAAGATCACCTTTCAGTCTTCTATTTTTCCTCATAGGGCAGACCCCCCATCCCAGTAAATATTTGAGTTAACCTTTGTTATAAACCCTCTGTGGCAAGTATGTCATTCTGTGGTAAGGAGGTGAAAACTGCACACATCACTCCAATTACATCAAGCCTCCAAATAACACTGCAGTCAAACATCTTTTCTCCGATACTCAAATCCTCTTGTAATAAAGGCCAACAGACCACTTGTCTTCTTAACTGCTTGCTGTACCTGCAATGCTAACTATCACTAACTGAGGAACAAGGCCACCCAAATTGCTTTTAAGTTTAAAATTTCCCTGCCTCTCACCATTCATGAAATACTTTCTAATTCTTGCTTTTCCATCCAAAATGTAGATCTTCACCTTTCTTCATATTGTATTCCACTGTCAAATATTTACTCAATCACTTAGACCTTCAAATCCTTTTAAAGCACCTTTGCATTCTCCTCTCAAGTCATGCTTATATCTGGTTTGTGTCATTTACAAACATGGAAATATTACATTTAATCCCCACATCCAAACAATTGATAGAGATGATGAATAACAAGCTACTCACATATCCATTATCCAATCCAGACCATTATATTCTCCTAATCCCATTTTCTCTAATTTTGCTTACTTAACCTCTTCTGTAGGTTGTGAAGCTTTCTGAAAAGAAATCAAAATTTGCCACAACCCACCAATTACTATTTACCTTTTTTATTTGAGATATGGCTTTTAAGGCCTCATTGAAATGTATTTTATTTGCTAGAAACACCTTTAAGATGCTGTTGGGGGTATTCTAGATTTTGACCCAGCAACACCGAAGGAACAATGATGGCATTACTGCACAATTCCAAGTCACAATGGTGTGTAACTTAGAGAGGAACTAGCAGGAGATCATTTCCATGGGATGGCAGCCATTTTCCTTCAAGTTCTTGGGTTTGGAAAGTACTATTGGAGATGTCTTGGGGCGTTGCTGAGCTGCATCTTGTATGTACAAACAAGGATCAGTAGTTGGCCATTGTGACCTTTATGTCTGTTCTGCTATTCAATAAAACCATGGGTGATCTAATTGTAATGTCAATTCCACATTCCTGCCTGGCCCTTCACCCCCTTGCTTAACAAAAATCTATCCACCTGCGTCTTACAAAGTATTTCAGACTCTGCTTCCACTACTTTTTCAGGGTTAGGGTCCAAAGAATCAGAGTCCTCTGCAGTAAAAGAATTGCACCTCTTGTGTTTTAAAATTCGCAATTCTAGACTATTAAATAGTGACCTTTAGTTCTACATTTTCCTAGTTAAAGAAAACTCCTTTCCACATCTACCCTGTCAAGACCTCTCAAGATGTTATACTCTTCACTGGTACATGGATTACTGCCACAGTACGAGGCTGGTGAAGGGGATGAATGTTGAAGGTGTTGGATGGGGTCCCTACTAGGCGGACTGCGTTTTCATTCTTTCGTTAGATGTGGACAAGACTGCAAAGGCCAGAGTTTGTTACTCATCCCTAGTTGTGGAGGTGGACAAGGCGATGGTGCACAATGGGCACCCGGAGCCAGAACAGGCAGCAGCTTGTGTCTGTACAACCGAAGCGGGTAGAGGGGCCGAGCGGCTTTTGCCTGCCTGTCCAACGGGAAGGAGCCGAAGGGCTGGTCTCCGGCCTGAGATCAGGAATCTCACCCACCGGCCCACACTCACATCTCTGGCGGCGTGGACAGCGGCCTCCGGCTGTATCTGTGGATCATTTCGTCGCCTGTCACCGCACATCGCACCGACTATCTGCCTCGGAGGCCTGGGATTCGCTCTCTTTCGCCGGAGCCGGGCACGGCACACCCAGTCCCAGGTTATTTCTCGGCACCGAGGCAGGATGGGCCCATTCCAGGCTCTCTCAGTGCTGGGGATTTAGCGCCTGACTGGGCCGTGCTGCCATGGAAACCTGGAGGCGTCGGGGGGCTTGCTGGGAGATGGAGTTCATCAGGAACTAATCCCCAGACTGACCAGCCATTCCCGACTGACCTCCCTCTTCAAATTGACACTCCTTCCCAGACTGACCCTCTCTCTTCGATGACTGACTCCCCCCTTCAGAGAGATAGCCCTCACCTCCACCCCCCGCCAAGACTGACCTGTTTCCTACCCACGGGACTATTCACATAGACTGACCTTCCTTCCCCAGGTCAAAATTCTGGACACTTTGGGTGAACCTACAGCATGTGGACTCCAGTGGTTCAAGAAGGCAGCTCACCATCACTTCTCAAGGGCAGCAATGGATAGGCAATAACTGCTGGCCAGCCAGCCAGCAATGTCCACATCTGAAATAACTCCACAAAGGCCAGTAGCTCATCACCAAGTCACCCTTTATTAACATGCCAAGAGTCTTTGACACTGCAGGTTACTCAGAGCCAGCTCTCAAAGTGAGCAGAACCTCTGACACTCCTGTTTATATCTGTCAGCCAGGGCTCCCTGATTTGAACAGATTAACAGCCCCAATCACAGAACTCATATTCTATGAGGTCCACCTGCCTGACCTCCTTACAATCACTACATTCCTCCCTCTCTGAGTCCGCTGACATAGGCTGGTTCTTTTTTTAATTTAGCTCCTTCTGGAGCGTTTCAACACCGGTCAGGTTCCGTCGACTCTACCTTTCATACAGGCAGTAACTTGCCTCTTGTGCCCAGAGCATATCAAAGAAATTCATTCTCCTCTTCAAGTGGCAAAGGTGTCAAGGCACAACATCCAAATGGCCATCTCAAATTCCAAGGTATCTTCAATGCTTGACAGTGAGGGAGAACAATGGGTTCCAGAACAGCCAGAAAGGTAGTCGAGGAGCTGGGCACGTTTGCGAGTTTGCAGCTTTCGTATGGCTCATGTGCTTGTTCAGGACTGTCGCACCTACCCCAACTTTATACATCACTAGACCTGACCTAGCATCGACCATGCCTCTTACCTACCATGCAAGGCCATCCCATGGTTCGTACACCAACCTTCGTCCCCTGAAGTAAGCTGTGTCTTGTGTCCGGTATTGGTGATCCTGATGCCGTTTCACCTTCCTCCCAGGTTTGGAAAGATCAGATTTAACCTGGTGCAGAGTCTTCTCCCTGTTAGCAACTCTGCTGGAGCTATCACTGTAGTTGCATGAGGAGTGGTCCGATAAACAAATAGTAACCAGGACAGCTTGATATCTAGTGAAGCTATAGGCTGTTTCTTTAAGCCTGCCTTCAGAGTTTGGACTGCTCTTTCTGCCAGACCATTGCATGATGGATGAAATGGAGCTGCCCCTTTATGATGAATACCATTCGACCTTAGGAAGTACACAAATTCCCTGCTGGAAAACAATGGCCCGTTATCTGTGAAAAATACCTACGGAGGTTATTGTGTTGCAAAAGACGCACACAGGTTTTCTATTGTTGTCACTGTGTTTGACGAATGAACTCTCTGCACGTCCAGACATTTTCAGTGGGCATCAACAATGACTTAGAACATCGAGCCAATGAAAGGACCTGCATAGTCGATATGTAACCGAGTCTAAGGTTTACCCGGCCATTCACTAAAGTCCTTTAGGGAAAGAAACTGCCATCCTTACTTGGTCTGGCCTACACGTGACCCCAGACCCACAGCAATGTGGTTGATACTTAACTGGCCTCTGGATAATTAAGGATGGGCAACAAATGCTGGCCTTGCCGGTGATGCCCACATCCCGTAAATGAATTTTTTTTAAAATTCCCACAAATTTGGGGGAGCTGCTAGCATTAATTTTTGCCCTTGTTGGCACTCTGGGCACTGCCCCACCAATGCAGCTATGTCTGTGTCCAAACCTGACCACCAGACATAACTTCTCACCAGCATCTTCATTTTGTAAACCCCTGGATGACCCTGAGATAACAAGAAAAATGAAAAATGAAAGTTTTCTGAGGAAGGGTCTAGGCCCGAAACATGAGCTCGACACCTTGTTATCTCAGATTCTCCAGCATCTGCAGTTCCCACTGTCCCTGGATGACCCTGGTTGATTTAAGCCAGTATCTGGCAGTGACTTTTGCTCAGGACACTCTTGCTTTCCATACTAGTATGCCATCCTCTATTGGAATCTGATCTCTCCAGATCTAAAAAGGTTTCAGCTCTGGTTGTGACAGTCCTTTAGTTTCCCCCATGACCATCAGCTGTTTCAGTTTTGCCAGGACTGAATCTTTCTGCATCTAAAGTCTGATATTGTCAGCTGTGACTGCTAGTGGGTCCAGAAAATTTAAAACCATGACGGACTCTTGGAGTCATAGAGATGTACAGCATGGAAATAAACCTCTGGTCCAGCTAATATCCCTTTAAGCCCTTCCTATTCATGTACCCATCCAGGTGCCTTTTAAATGTTGTAATTGTACCAGCCTCCATCCCCTCCTCTGGCAGCTCATTCCATATACGCATCACTTTCTGCATGAAAAAGTTGCCCCTTTGGTCCCTTTTAAATCTTTAACCTCTCACCTTAAACCTGTGCCTCTAGTTTTGGACTCCCTTAGCTTGGCTATTTACCCTATTCATCTCCTTCATGATTTTATAAGCCTCCATAAAATCACATCTCAGCCTTTGACGCCCCAAGGAAAATAGCCCCAGAGTGTTGAGCCTCTTTCTATTGCTCACATCCTCCAACCCTGGCAAAATCCTTGTAAATCTTTTCTGAACCTTTCAAGTTTCACAACATCTTTCCTGTAACAGGGAGACCAGAATTGAATGCAGTATTCCAAAAGTGGCCTGATCAATGTCTTGTGCAGCTGCAACATGACCCCCAACTCCGATACTCAATGCATTGACCAATAAAGTCAAGCGTACCAAATGCATTCTTCACTACGCTGTGTCTACTTGCAACTCTGCTTTCAATGAACTATGAACCAGCACCCCAAGGTCTCTTTGATTGGGAACACTCCCCAGGACCCTACCATTAAGTGTATGAACCCTGTACTGATTTGTCTTACCAAAATGTAGCACCTCATATTTATTTAAATTAAACTCCATCTGACACTCATTGGTCCTTTTGCCCAGCTGATCAACGTACTGTTGTAATCTGAGATAACCTTCTTCCCTGTCCACCACACGACCAATTTTGATGTCTTCTGCAAACTTAGTAAACATACCTCCTATATTCACATCCAAATCATTTATATAAATGACAGAAATGGATTTAGCATTGATCCCTGCAGCACACACTGGTCACAGGTCTCCAGTGTGAAAAACAACTCTCTACCACCACCCTCTGTATTCTACCTTTGAGCCAATTCTGCACCCAAATGGCTAGTTCTCCCTGTATTCCTTGTGATCTAACCTTGCTAACCAGTCTACCATGTGGAATCTTGTCAATTGCCGTGCTGAGGTCCATTAGACAACGTCCACAACTCTGCCTTCACCAATCTTCTTTGTCACTTCTTCAAAAAAACTCAATCAAGTCAGTGAGACACAATTTCCCACACATAAAGCTATGTTTACTATTCCTAATCATTCCTTGCCTTTCCAAATGTAAATCCTGTTCCTCGGAATCTCTTCCAACAACTGACTGCCACTGACGTCAGGCCCACCAGTCTATAATTCCCAGGCTTTTCCTTACCACCTTTCTTAAATAGCGGCATCACATTAGCCAAATTCTAGTCTTCTAGCACATCACCCGTGGCTATCAATGATACAAATATCTCAGCAAGAGGCCCAGTAATCACTTCCTTAGCTTCCAACAAAGTTCTGGAATACACCTGATCAGGTCCCAAAGATTTTTCCACCGTTATGCATTATAAGACATCAAGCACCACCACCTGTTGTTATATGGACACTATTAATCACTATTTATTTCTCCAAATTCTTGAGCTTCAATATCCTTCTCCACAGTAAAATCTAATGCAAAATACTTATGTAGTTCCAGTGGCAATACACCGGCGGTGTAAGTGCCAGCGGGTATTGGCTGAATGCATCTGCATTTGCCACTTTGTTTCCCAGACGTGTTCCAATTTGTAATTATATGCACTTAGTATTAGAGACCACCACTGAATTCAGTCTGAAGCTATGGGCAGCACTGCTTTGTCTTCTTTAAGTAGACCTAGCAGGGATTCGTGGTCCATTATTATTACAAATTTACGTGCACAAAGGTATTGGTGGAACTTCATGACTCTAAGTATGACTGCCGAACCTTCTTTCTTGATCTGGGCATATATATGCTCTGCATTTGCCAAAGTCCTGGATGCATACGCTATTGGGTTTTCTTCTCCATTGGGACATCTGTGAGCTAATACTACCCCGATGACACACTAGGAAGCATTGCATGTTAATACTAGATCTCGCTTGGGATCATAGTCTGTCAACACCTTGGAGGATGATAGCTGTTTCTTGACTTCCCTGGAAACAATGACTTGGCTATGCAACCAGTTCCAAGGCTGACAGTTTTTTAAGTGTTGATACACGGGATGAAGGCCAGGTTATGTATGATCTTCTCATAATGATGCACCAGCTCAAGGAAAGACCTAAGCTCCGGTACAGATGTGGGAGCCAGGACACCTTTGATCACCCTCACTTTATCTTTCCACCGGGTGTATCCTGGTCTTGTTGGCTCTGTAGCCCAGGTATGTCACTTGGGGTGCCTGGAACACACATTTTTCCCTTCCAAGGCATACGCCCACCTTGGAGAAATGCCTAAGGACTACGTCCAAGTTCTCTAGGTGCTCCTTAATAGTCTTCCCCATTGTTAGCACATCATCTAGATAAATGGCAACCTAGGGTTGACCTTGTAAAATGTTCTCCATCGTCCACTGAAAAGTCACACAGGCTGATAATACCTCAAACGGCAGTCTCATATATTGGTACAAACCCTTATGGGTATTAATTGTAGCATACTTCTGGGAATTCTCATCTGACTGCAATTGAAGTATGCATGGCTCATGGACAGCTTAGTGATGGACA